CCTTTAGCTTCAACAAACGGACAGGTGAACAGGGGTCATTTCGTAGAAAAAGAGCTAGGGGGACTCATTAGCATAACTCATTAGCATATGCCACACCCCCTGACATCACCGGAAGTGTGTCCTCCCCACAGCCGGCGGCGACCTCCAGCGGGCACCAGCAGGGAGCTCCAGGCCCCGCCCTCCCGCACCTCACCCGGGGGGATGGCGTCCCCCCGTCCCCCCCCCCCAAATGACCCCTGGGTTTGCTTTGCTTTCCTGTTCCTCTTTGGGAAAGGCAGCCCGCCCTGAGTGTCTGTGAGTTACATCTACGGTTGAGATTAGGAACAAGAGTGGATTTCTTTGCTGCTGTTTTGTGTGTGTGTTTCTTGTGGAGATGCTGGCTGTCGAGGGTCCCTGCTGACTTTCTGTCCTGGTGTCTCCTGTGCAGATGCAAGAGGGGAAGATCATGGAGCGGAGGAAGAAGATTGCTCTGGAGCTGTCCGAACTGGTCGTTTACTGCCGTCCAGTGCCTTTCGACGAGGAGAGTGAGTGTTCCCCCCCCCCAACACACACACACACACATCCAATCCAACATAAAAAACAGAGTTTCAAAGGTCTGAGGAGACTGTGTTTCAGAAGATTGAAGCCCTTGATCTAGCTGTGCTGGAGGACTTTGGATCCATTCTAGAAGAAGAAGAGAAGAGATTGGATTTATACCCCGCCCTTCACTACCCAAGGGAGTCTCAGAGCGGCTTACAAACTCCTTTCCCTTCCCCTCCCCACAACAGACACCCCCTGTGAGGTAGGTGGGGCTGAGAGAGCTCTGACAGCTCTTCTTTCAGGAACAGCTCTTATCAGAGCTACGGCTTGCCCAAGGTCATCCAGCAGGTGCAAGTGGAGGAGTGGGAAATCAAACCTGGTTCTCCCAGATTAGAGTCCGCGCACTTAACCACGGCACCAAACTGGCTCTCCAGTGTTGGATCAGGCCAGTGGCCCATCCAATTCAACACTCTGGGTCACAGGTTTCCGGTAACAGCGCTATGATACGGAGCAGCTGTCGGATTGCTCCGGAGCTGCCCACTCCTCTTCCGCTCATTTGGAGCCCCCCTTATCTCGTGTGGGCCCCGCTCATTCTCCTGGAGGGGGAATGAGTTGCAGAGGGCTTGTTTTGCCCGCCCCCCTACGGCAAATGCAGGGGTGTGGTGGTTATCAAGCGAGAGCAACGGACGGAGCAAGGCATGGCCGCCATGCCTTGCCTAACAGCGACCTCCATTTTAACTTTATTGCTTTCTTGATTTTGAATGTATACAGCAACATTGGGACTGTGAGTACGCATATTTCTAACTCTATTCATAGCCAAGATTTCGGACTTTGAGATAAAGTTACTCCAAGTTGGTCTGCCCAAGATAGAGGCAATTAGCAGCCAGACAAGGAATGTGGGAAAGATAGATGTCTTCTCTTTTTGATTACGGGGTCAAAAACTTCGTTGATCACAACTGACAACTAAGTTAAATATCCTAAATGGTGATTAAAAGTCTTAGAAAGGTGTTTGAAAGCTCCAAAGGAAGAGTTACGTTATTTGAGCTGAAATTAATTGGACAGCAAAAATGGCACTTGCAGAGGGAACTGAGGAGGATGAGCTGAAGAATAACATGATTGTGGGAGAATTAACTGTTGAGCAGTTTCTGAAGTTACTGAGAGATGGCATACAGAAGGAAATACAAAAAGGATTTGAAGAGGCTTGTGCGAATATAACTGAAAAACGACAGAGTATACAACCGGATAATGAAATTAAGGAAGAACCGATACAGCCCAAACAGAGCGTTAAGGAGGAACAAGTTTGCCACACCAAGGAGTCGTTTGACGAAAATCAGCCCAGTATAGGAGTGGAAAAGGAGACAATGAGGCCGTCCTATATAAAGACAGACTTAATAAAAACGAATAAGCAGAGAAGTTCTAGCAAAGAAGAGAGAAATGGGGGGGGGAGCAAAAATGGTGTGGCTGGAAGTTTAAGATGGAAAATATAAGACTGGATATAATATGGCTGAGACACAGAGGGGGGAGCCTAGGAATTAATACACACACACACACAAAGAAAGAAGACATTGGGGCTCATTGGTACAAAAATGTAAGCTACAAATATTCAGGAAAAAATTAAGTTATTTGAAGAATGAAAGATTATTTCTGTTGATCTATGTTTTAGTGGAATTATGAATTTAGGACTTCTGTTATAATGAGATATGGTATTAAGGCACTGTGTGAAAAGTTAGATATTGTGTTATAGAGAAGGAAAGCTAGATATAGACTTATAGAGAAGGAGAAAAAATTATTAACCTTGACGAAGAGTTAAATGCTATGCTTGTTGGAAAAATGGAATCATGGGGTTTTTTTGGGGGGGTTGTTTGTTTTTCTTGTTTTTGTTATGTTGTATGTATGAAGTATTTACTAGATTTTTTGTAAATAAATTAGTGGAAATAGCATGGCTGAAATACAGAGGGGGAAGTTTAGAAGTTTAAAAGTTAACTCACACACATATAAAATAAAATTGGGATTCATATAAAAATGTAAGCTATAAATTTTAAGGAGAAGAAATCAAGTTATTGGAAGGATGAGAGATTAATTTTGCTGATTTATGTTTAATTGGAATTATGAATTCAGAGCTTCTGTTATAATGTGATCTTGCATTGAAAACTGAAAATTAGATATTGCGTTAGTGAGATGGAAAGCTAGATATAGAATTATAGAGAAGGGGAGGGAAATTAATTTTGATGAAGAGTCAACTTCCCATTTTGAATTTATACAAGTGAAAATTTCAGTGATATGTATTTCATAAACTGCTGGAATAAATAATGATTAAAAGGGAAAATGGCAGAAAGGGGTGAGTAATTAGGTGGGAAGCTAAGCTGTTTATAAGTTGTAGTAAATTCATGCCACTGGTGGATATTTATTTGGGAAAACAAGTATATAATAGTAGTTGCAATAAGATATTGACAAAGGATGTTGAAAATATATGGATAGGAATTCTTCAGAGTAATGAAAAAGGATATTTAGTGGTTAATGACCATTTGAGACGTTGAGAGAACCTTATAAAAAAATGTTGACTTTAAATTGTGAAGGTTAATTGGAATATATTTAGTCAGGGCTATTTTTGGGCAGGAACGCACAGGAACGGAGTTCCGTCTGGCTCCCAAGTTGGCCACACCCAGCAGGAACTCATTAGCATAATAGGCCACACCCAACAGCAGAAACGCATTAGGACTGGCTACATTAGGGGTGTGTGGCCTAACATGCAAAGGAGTTCCTGCTCCAAAAAAAGCCCTGGGTTTTGACCACAAACAAGGTCAACAGAATAAGAAGCAAAAGGTAGGCGTGGCTGGATGACCACATTTCTGGTAACATGGGTGTGTGGCCTAATATGCTAATGAGTTTCTGCTGTTGGGTGTGGCCTATTATGCTAATGAGTTCCTGCTGGGCGTTTTCTACAAAAAATCCCTGTATTTAGTTAAATCTTAAAAGAAGGGTCTTTATAAAAAAAAAGTGTGCTCAGTTGCAATATTGTCTAGAACTAGTTGTATCGCTGTATACAGGAAATATTGTTTATGTTTATGTTTGTTTTTGTCTCGGTGTTTATGTGTGTGTCTATTATTTCTAAAAATTAATTAAAATATTTTAAAAAATAAACTCTGGGTCACACAGTGGTCAAAAATACCAGGTGCCATTAGGAGGTCCAACTGTGGGCCCAGGACACTAGGAGTCCTCCCACTATTGACCCCCCCCAAGCACCAAGAAGACAGAGCATCCCTTGCCCCAGACATAAGAACATAAGAGAAGCCATATTGGTTCAGGCCAGTGGTCCATCCAGCACTCTGTGTCACACAGTGGTCAAAAACCCAGGGGCCATCAGGAGGTCCACCAACCGGGCCAGAACTCCAGAAGCCCTTCCACTCTTGCCCCCCAAGCACCAAGAAGACAGAGCATCACTGACCCAGACATAAGAACATAAGAGAAGCCATATTGGGTCAGGCCAATGGCCCATCCAGTCCAACATTCTGTGTCACACAGTGGCAAAAACCCAGGGGCCATCAGGAGGTCCACCAGCCGGGCCAGAACCCCAGAAGCCCCCCAAGCACCAAGAATACAGCCCCCCAAGCACCAAGAAAACTCTTGCCCCCCAAGCACCAAGAATACAGAGAATCACTGCCCCAGACATAAGAATATAAGAGAAGCCAATGTTGGGTCAGGACAGTGGCCCATCCAGTCCAACACTCTGTGTCACACAGTGGGCAAAACCCAGGTGCCATCAGGCGGTCCACCAGCAGGGCTGGAACCCCTCCCACTGTTGCTCCCTAAGCACCAAGAATACAGAACATCACTGCTCCAGACAGAGTGTTCCATCTGTACCTTGTGGCTAACAGCCACAGATGGACCTCTGCTCCAAATGTTTCTCCAATCCCCTCTTGAAGCTGTCTGTGCTTGTAGCCGCCACCACTTCCTGCGGAGGCAGGGAATTCCACATATGAATTAATCCATTTGGTGTAGTGGTTAAGAGCAGCTGGCTCTGATCTGGAGAACCAGGTTTAATTCCCCACTCCTTCACGTGTAGCTACTGGGTGACCTTGGGTCAGTTACAAGTTCTCTCACAGCTGTTCTCTCAAGGTCAGCTCTTGAAAGAGCTCTCTCAGCCCCACCTACCTCACAGGGTGTCTGTTGTAGGGAGAGGAAGGGAAAGGAGACTGGAAGCCGCTCTGAGACTCTTGAGTGAAGGGTGGGAGGTAAATCCAGTCTCCTCCTCCTCCTCCTCCTCCTCCTCCTGTCGTGTACAGCCTCTTTTCACCAGGGCTTCTGTACTGACATAACATCTTGCGGCCATGAGTTTTGACTGCTGGATCCCACAAGGCACTTTCCTTTGGCGGAATGAGCCCTCCCCAAGACCAAACTCCTGTGGTAAAAAGTTCATCTCCTAGAAGAATGCCTCCACGGGGGTCTAAAAACCAGTGGCTCTCAATGTGCTCTGTGAAGGAACACTCTCTCGAGCTCTACTTTCTCCCGCTTTCTATGAATTAATGCAGGGCTTTTTTGGTAGAAAAAGCCCAGCAGGAACTCATTAGCATAATAGGCCACACCCAACAGCAGGAACTCATTAGCATATTGGGCCACACCCCTGACAGCACAGCTCATTAGCACATTAGGCCGCACCCCCATGTTACCAGAAGTGTGGTCATCCAGCCACACCCACCTTTTGCTTCTTATTCTGTTTACCTTGTTTGTAGTCAAAACCCAGGGCCTTTTTTTATAGCAGGAACTCCTTTGCATGTTAGGCCACACACCCCTAATGTAGCCAATCCTAATGAGTTCCTGCTATTGGGTGTGGCCTATTATGCTAATGAGTTCCTGCTGGGCGTGGCCAACTTGGGAGCCAGCCGGAACTCCGTTCCTGTGCGTTCCTGCCCCAAAACAGCCCTGGATTAATGCAAGTTTGTTCGTTTCAAAAATAAGTTTCTTGTCCTCTTTCTCCACAGAGTGCACATAGAAACTTCAGTTGTGTTCTCTCCGCCCCGGTCATTTGTGTCAACACCACAAACCTCCTCTTTGTCCTTGTTCCCTTCTAGAAATCGGCACCGAGAAAGCGTGCTACCGGGACATGTCTTCGTTTCCCGAGACCAAGGCTGAGAAGTATGCCAACCGCAGCAAGGGGAAGAAGTTCCTGCAGTACAACCGCCGGCAGCTGAGCCGCGTCTACCCCAAAGGGCAGCGCCTCGACTCCTCCAACTACGACCCCCTGCCCATGTGGCTCTGCGGCAGCCAGCTGGTCGCCCTCAACTTCCAGACGCCCGGTAAGTGGCCCCTCTCTGCCGTACCTGCCGGCAGCCATGCAGGCATAAGGGCAGTCACACAAAAACATCCTTTCTAGATAAAGGCCTGGCTGAGTTTTATCAGTTAGTTGTTGTAGAATTTCCGGGCTGTGTGGCCGTGGTCTTGGCATTGTGGCCCCTGATGTTTCGCCAGCATCTGTGACTGGCATCCTCAGAGGTATAACACAGGAAGATGGAGGACTCTCTGTGTCAAGGTGAGAAGGAAAATGGTCGGCAGGTAATAAGAACATAAGAGACGCCCATGTTGGATCAGGCCAAAGGCCCATCAAGTCCAACACTCTGTCACACAGTGGCCAAAAACACCAGGTGCCATCAGGAGGTCCACCAGTGGGGCCAGGACATTAGAAGCCCTCCCACTGTTGAACACCCCCCCTCCCCAAGCATATATCTACTCAGGAAGGTGGGGTAGGGCTGGGTCATTATCTTGTAGGAGTTTCCCAGGCTGTGAACACATGCTAATGGAGGCGCTTTCCTGAGGAGGTTCTTTTGCATATGGATTGGCTGCTGAAATGCTAATCTTATCTGTAGTGCTGTTATAAGATGTACAGAATTTTGTGTTTTTCAGGACAGGAAACTATGCCCTATTTATTTTTAAACTCTCTTCTTTCCTGTTGAAATTGTGTTTATGTTTATCAATTTCAATGGCTTCCCTGTGTAATCTGACATGGTAATTGGATGTGTTGTCCAGCCTTTCAGTGTCTTGGAATAAGATCCTGTGTCCTCTTTTATCCTTTATTTACACCCTGCGTTTCTCCCCACTGGGCACCCAAAACAGCTTAAATTATTCTCCTTTCTTCCATTTAAACCTCACAAGAACAAGGTTAGGCTGAAGAGTGTTGTGACCATTGTTCCCTCTAAGCTGAGTTCGTGTGAGCTAGCTCACAGTTTTTTAGCCTCCAGCTCACTCGTTTTTGTCTCCGCTCAGGAAGGATGGGGCTCCAGAGCGAACGAATTGATGCAGCAGCCAAGTCGCTCGCTCACAACTTTAATGCCGGCAGCTCACAGAGTAGAATTTTTGCTCACAAGACTCCACAGCTTAGAGGGAGCCTTGGTTGTGACTGGCCCAAGATTACCAAGTGCATTTCCATGGCAGAACAAGGATTTGAACCTGGGTCTGGCAAACCATAGTTGAACACTCCAACCACTGCACCACACTGGATCGCAGAGATCAGAAGCAGAAGGGCTGACCCTTTGGGGCACCTCCCTTCCCGGGGTCACGGCACAGCGCTCGCTTGGCGATTTGCTCCTGAGCTACAGAACTAGAACAAGCACAGTCTAATCATGATAAATCCCATGGCTGAGAGCAAGTTTGAGATTAAAATGCAGAGTAACAACCGGTGACTGGAGGGATTTAAATGGCATTTGATTGCTTGATATAAGTGGTATTGGGGAAAGGGGCGTCGCTGGCCCACACTCACGGCATCAGTCAGGGAGCCAGAATCCTGGCCATGAAGCCAACGTTAATCTGGTAGCTAGTTGGTAGACAGCCAGTTTGGTGTAGTGGTTAAGAGCATGGAGGTACTTTTCTCCCTTTCTCACAATACAAGAACCCGTGGGCACTCCATGAAATTGCTGAGCGGTCGGGTTAGAACGGATAAAAGGAAGTACTTCTTCACCCAAAGAGTGATTAACACATGGAATTCACTGCCACAGGAAGTGGTGGCAGCTACAAGCAAGGACGGCTTCAAAAGGGAATTAGGTAAGCATATGGAGCAGAGGTCCATCAGTGGCTATTAGCCACAAGGTATAGATAGGGACTCTGGGGCAAGTGATGCTCTGTCATCTTGGTGCTTGGGGGGGTCAACAGTGGGAGGGCTTCTAATGTCCTGGCCCCACTGGTGGACCTCCTGATGGCACTGGTATTTCTGGCCACTGTGGGATACAGAGTGTTGGACTGGATGGGCCTTTGGCCTGATCCAACATTGGCATCTCTTATGTTCTTATGTTCTTATGACTCTAATCTGAGAGAACCAGATTTGATTCCCCATGCCTCCTCCACATGCAGCCAGTTGGTGTGACCTTGGGTCAGTCACAAGTTCTCTCAGGGCTGTTCTCTCAAGGGCAGATCTCGGGAGAGCTCTCTCAGCCCCACCGACCTCACAGGGTGTCTATTGTGGGGCGGGGAGGGGAAGAAGATGGTAAGCCGCTCTGAGACTCCTTTGGGTAGTGAAAGGCGGGGTGTAAATCCAATCTCTTCCTATTCTTCCTTTCATTGGAGATTTGTGGTGGGCACCGTTCCTGGGGGTCGAGGTTTGCGCGGTGCCAGCCCACTGTAGGTTGCAAGTGGTGTGAGAGTATCAAAGAAGACGTAAGTCTTATAGGCTTGGTGTAAAACGATATACAATTTATTTACACGAGCCTCCACCAATATATTGCACAGAATGACAAAATGCTCATGCAGACACCAGGTTTCCATCAGGAAGGATGGTACATTTTACAGCATCACACTTATACTAGCATTGTCCAATCAGGACCCAATGCTGAGTCACTGTTAATTAGCTCTGCTATCAACTAGACAGAACCAGTTGAAGCCAGCTCTCCTGACACCCTGAGCTGTCAGCTCCTGTCAAACAGATTGATATGATCTACAGCCAGACTTATAGAACACATGGTTGTTGACACTGGGGAGCAGGGCAAGGCCAGATTCTTAAACCATGAGAGAAGCGACAGAGGGACCCTTCTGGTTTCTCTACCCTGAGAACCTACCATAAGTGGTGGCAACGTCCTCACAGGCCATAGGGCTGGAGGGTGGCTTAGATGTCTTCCGAAAGGAATGAGACGGATTCCGTAAGAATCGTGTCGTGTTCTGCAGAAAGAAGAGTGTCTGTCCCATGATAGGAAGGAAGTGTAAGTGTATTCGTATGCACACACCCCCATCCCTAGGCCAATCGGCCTGACTCCCGCGTGCGGGAGAATGGGGCCCCAGGCCGTTAGAGCCGAAGCTGGGAATCGAGACTAGTCCCACCGGTAATTGATGGGAAGACACTACACAGGCAGCCTACAAGGTCAGAGATAATAAGGAACGAAGGAATGCAGCAGCAGCTGGTACACAGGTCAAGCAAATGCACTCCTGCCCATAAACATCATGGCAGCATAGCTGACATTAAGCTCTCACAAGCAGGCGTTCGTAAGAATTGCACACTAGGACTTGGGGCCCCACCTCAGTGGTCATAAGAACCTAAGAACATAAGAGAAGCCAGTGTTGGATCAGGCCAAAGGCCCATCCCGTCCAACACTCTGTCCGTCACACAGTGGCCAGAAATACCAGGTGCCACCAGGAGGTCCGGCAGTGAGGCCAGGACACTAGAAGCCCTCCCACTGTTGACCCCCCCCAGCACCAAGAAGACAGAGCATCCCTTGCCCCAGACCTAGAGTTCCAATCTATTCCTTGTGGCTAATAGCCACTGATGGACCTCTGCTCCAGATGTTTACCTAATTCCCTCTTGAAGCTGTCCGTGCTTGTAGCCGCCACCACCTCCTGTGGCAGGGAATTCCATGTGTCAAGCACTCTTTGGGCGAGCCTTCCTTAGTCGTGGTTTTGGCCCCCACACTCTGGATACTGACGCAGCACGTTCCTGTGGAACTCAGTGCCGTGCCGGGTTCTTTCCTCTGAGTGCTGACGGGTTTGTGCTTCCAGACAAGCCGATGCAGCTGAACCAGGCGCTGTTCATGCTGGGTGGGCGCAGCGGCTACGTGTTGCAGCCGAACATCATGCGGGACGACCTCTTTGACCCCTTCGACAAGAGCAGCCTGAAGTTCGTGGAGCCGATTACTATTCAGCTGCAGGTAGGTTGAATGGGGGGGGTCATAGAGAGAGAGAGGAGACTAGGACAATCCCTCTATACCCCCACCCCCACCCTTAGGGACCTCAATTCAGTGGAACCTTAAAGAACAGCAAGGTTTCCTGAGTAGCAGGTTTTGAGTCAAAGCTCCCTTTTGTCAGATATGGGGCGCTTCCACACACACAAATCACACACTTTGCAACTGGATTTTACTGGGTGAACTGGCAACATGCAAACGGTCGCTGAAGTGGATTTGAAATGGCATTATTTAGCGTGCGCGAAAGCGGCTGTGTGTCAGATCCCCAGTCAAGACATTCTCCACAACACTTTTGGCAGTGATGTTTATTAGAGGTATGCTTACATCAGGTTTCAGATCTTTTGATCAGGACAAAAGAACGCCCGCGCGAAATCCAGAAGTTATAGGTAAGATCCGGTACAGCCCCCCAACACGCCACACGTACGTCAGCAGTCAGCCCCCAGGGAACCATGGCACCCTGACAGGATATACAGTGCTTATCTATGCTAGCCTAGCAAAGGAGTCTCCAAGGCCACGTGCACCGGCTGAGGGGTGCCACTTGAAAGATGGTTATGGCTACAAGCAGGCACTCGCTTTACACACTCTCACCCCACAGCACCCTCCTCCCCTAAATAGATGGCAAGCAGTGAAGCATAATGGAGAGAAGCGAAACTGAACGCTTGACACCGTGGTGTCGGGTCAGATATGGTACCCGACAAAGGGACTTTTAGTTGTTGCAGATTTTCTGGGCTGTGTGACCGTGGTCTTGGCATTGTAGGACCTGACGTTTCGCCAGTAGCTGTGACTGGCATCCTCAGAGGTATAACACAGAGAGGCGGAGTACTCTCTGTGTCAAGGTGAGAAGAAGAATGGTAGGCAGGTGATTTATATCTACTCAGGAAGGTGGGGTAGGGCTGAGTCATTATCTTGTAGGACAGTGGTGGTGAACCTCTGGCACGGGTGCCAGAGGTGGCACTCAGAGCCCTCTCTGTGGGCACGCGTGCCATCGCCCCAGCCAGGCCCAGACCATCATTAAAGTGTCGAACTCTCTGCCAAATAATTTTAAGTCAATGAAAGCATTTGGGATTGCTTTCCTTACTATGTTTAGATTATATTAATCTAAATGTATGAGTTGTTTTTTCTAAAGGAAAACCTCAGTATTCAGGTTAAATTGCCGTGTTGGCACTTTGCGATAAATAAGTGGGTTTTGGGTCGCAGTTTGGGCACTCGGTCTCTAAAAGGTTCGCTATCACTGTTGTAGGAGTTCCCCAGGCTGTGACGTGCTAATGGAGGAGCTTTCCTGAGGAGGCTCTTTGTTCGTCTTTAAGGTCCTTCGGGACTCGGACCTTACCCTTTCCGTGTAACTCAACTCAGTCTTCCTCCCCACATATCCCTTTGCCAGAAGGGACTTTTGACTATCGAAAACTTGAATCCTGGAAACCTCACTGGTCTTTACGGTGCCATGGGGCTCAGTTCTTTCCCTTTCTTCCTCCCCATAGATCCTAGGGGCCCGGCACCTCCCCAAGAACGGCCGCAGCATCGTCTGTCCCTTTGTGGAGGTGGAGGTCTGCGGCTCTGAGTTTGACAACAGCAAAAACAAGACGGAGGTTTTGGGTAAGGGTTGATTGGGGAGGTGGGGTGTCTGTATATTGGGGGAGGGACGAACAGCTGGTATGTCTTGGAGCCAGGTTGGTGTAGTGGCTAAGAGCGTGGACTCTAATCTGGGAGAACTGGGTTTGAGTCCCCACTCCTCCACATGCAGCTGCTGGTGTGACCTTGGGTCAGTCACAAGTTCTCTCAGAGCTGTCCTTGAAAAAGAGCCGTTTCTGTCAGAGCTCCCTCAGCCCCGCCTACCTCACAGGGTGCCTGTTGTGGGGAGGGGAAGGGAAAGGAGTTTGTCAGCCGCTCTGAGACTCCTTCGGGTAGTGAAGGGTGGGGTATAAATCCAATCTCTT